TTAGCAGCAGCAGCAGCAGCAGCAGCAGCAATATCATCATCACCATCACCATCAACATCATTATCATCATCACCATCACCACCACCATCATGTTTTAAAGTAGGGGGGGAAAAAGGTATACTTGAGACTTGAATAGGGTTGGTGTCGTTTAATCAGATGTTCGTATAGGCCTGGATGTTCAACGTTTCGCCAATAAGGCTTCATCAGGAACATAGTATCTGAGAAAAAAATTGAGTGATGACGCCATAGCAACAAAGAGTTCACTACAAGTTACGTATTGATGCGATTTGGACAATATCGGAAAGAGCCGAAGCTCTGAAAAAGAAAAGCTAAGTCGTTACTGCCATGGTCCATATCATCATCATCATCATCATCATCACCATCATCATCATCATCATCATCATCATCATCATCATCATCATCATCATCATCACCATTATGTCAAGGTTTCCAATGTTGACCTGTCAGATAAGTGTCTAACCCTACACACAAATTCAAAGGTGCACATTCACCAGTTTATGAGTAGAGACATTCCATCCATGCGTATATCAGCAGAAAAAGACAAACACCAGTTTCTTATTATACATAATATATATGAAGAGAAATCCAACCGATGAGAAGAGACAGTCTTCGGTATTTAATATATGAGAAGAAACATGTCCCCGTCTTTGTAAGAAGAGACATTCTACGGTATGTACGAGGAGAAAAAAAAACATCCTCAACTGTACTGAGCTATGAAACCGAATGTGACCTGGCTCCATTCTCCAAATGTGTGAAACTGACGAAATAAATATATCGTTTTTCAGGTGAAACTGAATGATTACAACTATTTCAAAACACAAAAAGCAAACCTGATAATGGAAGTTGTGAAAGGGCTTGTTGGAAAACGGCACTCCATTCTTTACATCGGCCTTGGAATTCATGACGGACTGAATTCCACTACTGTACATGAAAAAGTAAGGTTTTGTGAGTGTTTGTGTGCGTGTGTTTTTGTTTGTGTGTGTGTGTGTGTATGTGTGTGTGTGTGAGTGTGTGTGTGTGTGTATGTGTGTGTGTGTGTGTGTGTGTGTGT